ACAATGCCTAGAATCTGGGGTCTTGATGGATTGGTGAGAGGTCGAATCATCGAAGGCACACGGTTTCAATTTGTCTTCCAGACGGAGGAGGCTATGGAATCAGTGATACGCCACGGTCCTTGGGCTTATGCAGAGCGAATGTTGGTACTTCAACGATGGACTCCATTGATGGACATGGCTCTTCTCAACTTCATTCCAATATGGATTCAAGTTTGGGGAATTCCTTTCCAATTCATGAACAGGGAAGTTATTGTTCACATTGTAAGGGCTATGGGTTCCTACATACAAATGGAGTACAATGAGGAAAGCGGTCACCAATCTGAGTTTGTAAGGGTGAGGCTTAACTTGTATGTTTCTTTTCCCTTACACTTCTAGAGGAATTTTCAGTTTAGCCCTGATGTCAACACTGTGCTCCGATTCCATTATGAGCGCTTGAGGGGATTTTGTGAGACATGTGGTATGATAACACATGACTCAGGAGCCTGTATAATCAACAATGGTGGTATGGGACCAGGAGACGACGATGATGCTGATGACAACAGCAATGATGGAGATGATCGAATTCCAAACCAAGGGGTTATTATTGAAGAGATTAACAAAGATGATGATGGCGGAGAGGAAGCGGCTAATGTGAATGTTGTGGAAGTGGCTAACCAACCTTTGAATGAAGAACAAGCTTTGGAAGTGGAGGCAGAAGATATGGAAGACACAGAAGATGAAGAAGACGATCTCTGGACAAATGAAGGCAAGACTACAATGTTTACCAACGATGTCATTTGTGAGGAAATGTACAACCCCATTGATCCTTTTGGGATTAAAGCTACTGAAGCAACAAGCTTGAAGAAGAAGGCATGGATTACAGAATCCATTGGTAACAACCCATTCTTTAAAATGATGGTGGGAGAATCAAGTGGTACTAGTAACTTGAAGAGGAAGAAAGCTACTTTGAGGGGAGAAAACGAGACAACAGAGACAAATGCTGATGGATCCAAAAACTTGGGAGGCACGGTGGGCCCTGAACCACCCCTTCCACCATGAGGACAGCCTGTTGGAACTGTCGAGGTCTGGGCAATGACTCGACAGTTCGACGCCTCAAAGAGATGAATAGGAAACATCTCCTGGACATAATATGCCCATCCGAAACTAAGAAGCAAAACGATGTCATCAGAGATATAGGAGCTCAACTTGATTGTCTTAATTATGTTTATGTTCCCCCATTAGGTTTGAGTGGTGGGTTAGTTATCTATTGGAAGTCTCATGTACAGTTGCAAGTGTTGTTTCAGTCTCCCAACTTAATCGATTGAAAAGTTCAAATAAATGGAAGTTCTTTCTAATATACATTTGTTTATGGACACCCTGATATGAGTTTGAGACATCACACATGGGAGAAACTCCAAAGGTTGGCCGTCAATAGAAGGAATGATATGTGGATTGCATTAGGAGATTTTAATGAGATTCTTGGGAACCATGAGAAAATAGGAGGAAGGCTTCGACCAGAATCTACGTTTGTTGACTTTAGAATGATGATGCGATTCTGCGATTTTACTGATCTCCCATCTATTGGGAACCGTTTCTCATGGGCTGGAAAAAGAGGGAATGATGTGGTTCAGTGCTGCCTTGATAGAGTAATGGCTAACACTCTTTGGTGTACAGAGTTTCCTTCTTCTGAAACAACTTTTCTTGAGATGGGAGAATCTGATCACCGTCCACTTATAACATATATGTCTGCTGAAAGAGAAAACCCGAAGAGAATGTTATGTTATGATAGTAGAATGTATCAGAAGGATGGTTTTCAAGCAGCTGTTACACGTGGTTGGAGTGAACTGGTCAAACATCGCTTCTAAATCTCTCTTTAACTCAAAGAACAAAAAGATGTCGACAGCAAATCTCAATCTGGAAACGGAGCAACAGAACTAATAGTGAAGAGAAGATTAGAGTTTTGCGAGGGAAACTAGATACTGCAATGTGTTCTGCAGCAGCTACTACTTCTGAAACAAGTCTGTTAAAAGAAGAATTTAACCAAGCATACCTTCATGAAGAAATCTTCTGGAAGCAAAAGAGCAGAATCATGTGGCTAAGGGCAGGGGATCGTAATACAAACTACTTTCATGCAGTCTCAAGAGCAAGAAGAATTAAAATCACGCTCACATCCATACAGGATGAACATGGAGTTATACACAGAGGTCACAAGAATATTGTCAATGTTGCAGAGAATTATTTTACAAATCTCTTTGCATCTCGGAATGATGTAAGCCAGCACTTTGAGCAAGTTTTTCAAGGATTTACTGGAAGGGTCAATACTGCTATGAATGAAGATTTGATCAGAGACATAACAGAGGAGGAAAATAAAACTGCAATATTCCAAATAGGACCACATAAAGCTCCCGGTCCGGATGGCTTTCCTCTAGTTTTCTATCACCAACATTGGGAGCTTGTTAAAGAAGAGGTGATGACAGAAGTCAAACAGTTCTTCAATGATGAACGTTTTGATCCTAGTCTGAATCATACTAACATCTGTTTGATACCAATGGTTTATCCCCCAACTGGTATGACAGAATTCAGACCCATTGCTTTATGTAATGTAACATATAAGGTCATCTCTAAGATCCTTATCAATCGTCTACAACATCATCTGCATGGTATAATCACTGAGAACCAAGCTGCTTTCATACCAGGGAGAATGATATCGGATAATATCATTATAGCTCATGAAATCTATCACAGTCTTAAAGCTAGGAAACGACAAGCTAACTCTTATATGGCTGTGAAGACAGATATTACTAAAGCTTATGATCGACTGGAATGGAGCTGTTTGGAAGAAACAATGAAAAGAATGGGATTTCATTCTAAATGGATTAACTGGATCATGATCTGCGTTACATCAGTATGTTTCTCGGTGCTAATTAATGGTGAACCTGAAGGACATATTCTACCACAAAGAGGATTAAGACAAGGAGACCCATTATCTCCTTATCTTTTTATACTTTGTGCTGAGGTTCTTTCCCATTTGATGAATAGAGCAATGGCAGATAGATCTCTCCTTGGAGTTAAAATATCTTTACATGCTCCACCAGTTAACCATCTAATATTTTCTGATGAGTCGTTATTCTTCTCTTTAGCCAACCCAAAAACTGGTAGGAAACTGAAGCAGATACTCTCTCTTTATGAAGCTGTATCGGGACAAGCTGTTAATTTGAACAAGTCTTCGATCACATTTGGGAAGAATGTAGCCGGTCCTGTGAAGCAAAGAATGAGGAACCTCCTGGGAATACACAATGAGGGTGGTAATGGCAAGTACCTTGGATTGCCAGAACAGTTTGGTAACAAGAGAAGGGGAAATGTTTCAGTATATTATCGAGAAAGTTAAAGCTGCTACACAGGGATGGAAGAGGAAATTTTTATCACATGGTGGTAAAGAAATTCTATTAAAAGCGGTGGCACTTGCAATGCCAATTTACTCCATGAATGTCTTTCGACTACCTAAGGACATTTGTGAAGAGATAAATGCAGTTTTAGCTAAGTTCTGGTGGGGATCAGGGGATAAGCAAGGCATGCATTGGTATAGTTGAAAAAGAGTTTGTGTCCCGAAAAGAGAAGGAGGATTGGGCTTTAGAGACTTGGAAAAATTTAACCAAGCTCTTCTTGGCAAGCAAGTATGGCGTATACTCCAAAATCCAGAGAGTTTGATGGCTAGAATTCTTAAAGCACGCTATTTCGCTGATGGGAACATCCTCACTGCAGTTTTAAAGAAAAAAGCATCATATGCATGAAAATCTTTACTACACGGGAGAGACCTTTTGAAAAGAGGTATGCGATTTATAATTGGTAATGGATCCATGGTCAGTATGTGGGATGATCCCTGGTTACCAACTCATCCACCACGAGCACCTGAACCTCTACAGAAAAATAGTACTTTGGAATGTGTTCAAGACTATATACTACCTGATAGGTCTGGATGGGATTTAGAGAAACTGCGAACAGCAGTCATACAACAAGATGTGGAGATGATACAAACTCTTAAAATATCGGAAAGAGCAGAGTTGGATCTCCTTGGTTGGCATTATAATGACAATGGGATATATACAGTTAAGTCAGGATATTGGCTTAATACACATCTTCCATATGATGAACAAGTGATGCCAACATGGGGAGATCCAATATTGAAACAGAAAGTGTGGAAATGCTCATCGCCTCCTAAGATTAAACACTTTCTCTGGAGAACACTTTCCCGCGCTTTACCTACTGGTTCTAATCTGAAGCGAAGACATATTTCTCAATATGATCAGTGTAAACGATGATGTAGGGCCCCAGAAACTGAACAACAAATGTTATTTGAGTGTCCCTATGTGAGAATGATTTGGCGTGCATCAGGGGTCATAAACATAATGCTAAACAGAGGATTGGGTACTTTGGAGGAGAGAATGGAAGCTTGTATCACGTGCAATACCTCTACAACTTTATCTCATTTAAAAGATCTTCCCATTAGTCTATTGTGGAGGATATGAAAGAGTAGGAATATTTTGGTTTATCAACATAAAGATATACCATGGTGGAAGGTAATTCAACAGGCTAAAGGAGATGCAGAGGAATGGAGGAAGCAATATGACAACTCTAGTTCAAGAGTTAATAAAATGGGAAGCGACTTAAGGCCTCATAGACAAAACTGGAGACGACCACAAATGGGTTTTGTGAAGTGCAATTTTGATGGTTCTTTCATAGATGCTATATCACCAAGTAAAGCAGGATGGGTAGTACGTGATGATCAAGGCACTTATAAGCTTGCAGGTCACGCTATCGGAAACCGATTGATTTCTCCTTTAGAAGGAGAGTTTCAAGCCTTAATAATTGCGATGCAGAAATGTTGGAGCAGAGGTTATACAAAAGTCATTTTCGAAGGAGACAATCAGAAAATGATTAATATACTCAACAACAATGATCTTCACTTTGGAGGTTATAATTGGGTTCGCGAGATTAGATGGTGGTCTACTAAATTCTAGATACTATGTTTTCTCATCAAATGTTTCTTGATCATCAAGAAACACATGTTCATGTTCCTTTTCATCTCCATGTTCATGGTTTTCATCTTCACTACGATTCTTTCTTCCTCCTGACCTTCCTCTCTTGACCCCTCCTTGCTTTTTAGGTGTTTTTACATTCTCCGCCCTAATGACAGTCTCTGGTTTCGTTTCCACACTCCTCGTTTTGACAACATCATCCTCTGAGTTATTGGCGTAACGGTTTTTCAGTCTTTCACGGGTTAAGATAGACGAAAGAAGCTGATACCATCTCGAAGCTGCTTGTGCTTCATTTCTTCTTCTCTCCTCCTCTTCTCTCATTTCTTGTTCCTCTGCATATGCCTAAACCCAAAACCAAAAAGGGAGATAAATTCAAAGATCCATCCATACTCAAACCATAAAACTATGTGTGTTCAGTTGGTAGTTTTACCTCGAGGATTGTGTCTTTGAACTCGGTACAGACCACAATACCTTCAAAGACAGGAGTAGCACGTCCACTTTTGTACTCGAAACCAACCATTGCAGGTGCATAATCTATTCCAAATCTCTTACAACCGAAAATATTCGAGAAACCTTAAATGTACTGTTCCAGGTGGGAGACATTTCTCAGACCACACATCAACTTGACCACGCTCGTTCTAAAACCCCAAACACACACAAAATGAGATTTTTACAGATTCCATTGAAGTGAATAAAGACTGAAATGAATGTGCTTTTACCTTGGGAACAATTCCATTAACAGCATGAGGGAGGCACAATGGTTCCATCTGCCACACTTCCGTGCATCAGCTTAATCGCACTTCCATATGTTATCTATCACACACCATCACAACCACCAAAGACATTAAAAATCCCAATTCCGAATCTAAATCAAATAGAGCACCTAACCGATCCAATGTATAACACACCTCGACGCCTTCGGCGGCGGAAGCAGACGTGTAGCCGGAATCTGAATCGACGCTGAGGAAAAATAAGAGAGCCAGAGAGAAGAATCTGACAGCCATCGCGAAGAGGAGCGCAATGAACCAGTTCTGTTGATAAAAGGGAAACTCAGAGGTCGATTTCCTCGCTGAAGGAGGCGAAACAGAGGGAGGAGGAGATGGAGATGATGGTGGTGGCTTTCTTGTCCAGAGCCACGGAGATGAGGAGATGGAGATGGTGGTGGCTTTCTTCACCGTATAATTAATTAGGGGTAGAATGGTACTTTATCTATTAAGCTTTAAATGCTAAAGTTGGTTAAGGTATAGATAAAATGTGGTATGAGGAAATTGGTATTACTCACAATTTCATCTAAGAAGATATAAATATAAAGTATAATTACTTAAAAAGTATAAGTTATGCTATTTAAAAATATATTTAAGTTAAGTATTACTATTTTGTAAACTTTCCTTTTTTATGAAACCATATTATATATATACTTATTTTTTTCGTTTTCAAATAGTTTTGTAAATTTTATAAATATTTCTCTTTTGTTTTATATTTTTATTTGGAAGATTTTAAAAAGGAAATAATAATACTATTTTTTTAAAGAAAAAATATTTCTTTTTCTAATATCAATGAAAAAATATAACATAACTAATTTGATTTGACTTAACTAAAATAAAGAGTAAATAAATATTATGAAAATACATGTATATTTAAAGGATAAATAAAACCAATTTGATTTGACTTAACTAAAATAAAAATTAATTATATTTCAATTTTAATTTAAAAATATATTTAACTCAATATAAACACAAAATGAATGACTCGACTAATCTAATTTATATCCAAAATGAAAAATCTAAATATAATAAGAACATATAATTTTATAATAATAATAACAATAATCTATTTAATTTTATATATATAAATTAGAGCTTGACTCAAAGCATATTAAAAAGAAAAAGTAAATACCAACCAATTACAATTTAATTCTTTTTAGAATTTATATATATGCATGTGACTCCAAAAGATTATCATTATTTTCCTTTATGTAATTTTGAATCAAACACTTCAGCTTATACATAATTTAACTATAATATATTTACATATCTAAGAATATATTTACATACCTAAAGACAATAACCAACCGAAATGAAAATAAGAAAACTAATCAAAGTTTTATTATATTTAGAATAAAAAATATTATAGATAAATTCGAAAAATAGATATTATCCAATATACCAAATTGATAACTAAAACGACTATTAATCCAAAAATAATTAAACCGACAATAATATATCCAAAGTCATATGTAAAATTAAAATAATATAATATTTATTAATATATATTATACATATAAATTGATTCAAAACTAAAACTAAATATCAATCAATTATTATAAACTTTTAATTTTATAAATATTTATACATGTGCATGAGCACGGGAAAATCACCTAGTAATATATAATATATGAAAACTTATAGTAGACTTGTATGTGTTATTTTGTTCTCAATTCACAATGCATATTTAAATCCGGTAATATTGTGCGCGTATGTAAGCTGTAGAAAACATGTATAATGTTAAGAATATTCCACATCTTAACTGATTATGAGTTAGAAGTTCATAAAACATTGACATTACAATTGTGCATTCGCATATTGAATAAATACCACTGCTAAGGAAATTTCGGGGTTAGACCCATCACATTTGGAAGACAGTTCTTCAAATATATCAGTCTGAGAGTAAAATGGGTCGTGTTGATTTTTAAAAGCAAAAAAAAAAGCGTGTAACTCTAGCATTTAGTAATATGGACTTGCATACTTAAATGTTTTTAAAATTCTAGTTAGAAGCAGCAAACCAAATTACTATGTAGTCTAATACTCCCGTTAGGTTTGTTAGAGTACGGACACATTTTATGCAGTTCACACTATAGCTAGGTTGTAGCTTGTGATTCGTTAATTTCAGATTAGACTTAGAGAAACAATTAATTTTATCAAAAATATGAAATTTATCACGTAAAGATATGATTAATAGAAGCACACTACCATTTCTCGTACCTCTTTTCTTCTTCATCACCTTGGGAAGCTGCACCTTTGATGAATGTGCGGATAGTTATAAAGGAGAGGGGAACACTTAGACGCCTAGAGATGAAGAAACAAGGTATGAGAATAAGAGCAAGAAAAGTGACGACAATAGAGATAAGTAGGAGCAACATTATCTATTGTTTTCAATATTTGTTCGTAGTGATCAGTAAATACTCGTTCATATATATAGAAACCTGAAAGCGATCCTGGTTCAAAGACGCATATGATCAGTGGAACCTTCTCTCTGTCTAGCTGTATGTCTTCCCTTTATGCAAACGCAAAGACAGATCATACGCATTAAGGTTAATAAGATCTTGCGATGCTTGAAATACAATAAATGGTTCCGTAGTTTCCGTAGTTTCATTCAGTTTAAAGGCTCTTTAAGGTGTTCACATAGGCAGATTGTAGGTCCCACATTTTTATATTAAAATAGATAGTTTTTCTAAAATGGCTACAAACAAAAAATATCAGTTTAGCCAAGTGGTCTAAGACCCCATGTTTGGTCTCCATGGACATGGATTCAATTCCCACTGCTCTCATGCATAAACCAATTAATGTCATCATCATAAAAATATGTTTTAAACAGACATAGTCTTGGTAAGATGGTCACAAACAATGAAATACAATTTAGCCAAGTGGTATAAGGTGTCTAATTAAGTATGCAAGATTGTAGGTTCAAACCACGCAGCTATCATGTATTTTTGATTTTTTTTATTTAAGTTATTATCGTATGGGCTTTTTGTTTAGAAGGTTCTTATGTCTTTTTTTTGACTTATTGTTTTAAAGATCAAAATAGTTATATAAACCCTAAACCTTAATAAGTTCAAACCCATAATAGTTAAAAATGAATCCAAAACGAATAATAAAACAAAAAACAAAAAAAAAACAAGTCTCACGTGGTTGCCTACGCGGATGGCTTAAAGAACCTTAAAACTATCATATTATAATATAGCTCAACCCAAAAATAATAAAAAATAAATCCAAAAACGAACAAAAAAAAAAAGTGAATTCCACGCGGGTGCATACGTGGATGGCTTAAAGAGGGTTGAATAATACAGATTAGAAGCTTAAAAAGTTAAATCATTGCACATATTTCCTAATATATATTTTAAAAAAATTTGTATGTGAGATAAAATAAAAAACAACAAAAATTAATTATTTTCGTTATTTATTAAATGAATATGTAATTTCTCTTAAATTTTAATAACTACTATAATTTCATTGAAAACATTTCTCACCACCGATTCCAGACTCCGGCAAATGGATTCCCATAGTCGATGACGCCGTAGATAATAATGCCACATCATTTATGAACAAAACTCAAACTTACAAAAAAACCATATATAAAAATCTATCTAATGAAACTTAAACAATGAATATTAACTTAATTAAGGTTATTTTTAAATTGATAAATCGTTTAATACAAATTTAAATACTATAAATATAGAGTTATATCAAGTTTTGACCTACGATATAAAAACTATTTATAGCAAAAACACCTACTTTTACACACTAAAAACTATATTATAGCCTAACTATTCCTATAAACCTTGCTTTGCATATAAATAACATTTAACACATTCCTAATATATTTTCAAAAAATTTGTATGTGAAATAAAATAAAATAAACAAAAAAAATTAAGTATTTTCGTTATTTATTAAATGAATATGTAATTTCTCTTACATTTTAATAACTACTATAATTTCGTTGAAAACATTCCTCACCACCGACTCCAGACTTCAGCGAATGGATTCCCACAGTGAATGACGCCGTAGATAAAAATGCCAAATCGTTTATGAACAAAACTCAAACTTACAAAAAACATATAGAAAAACCTATCTAATGAAACTTAAACAACGAATATTAACTTAATTACGCTTATTTTAAAATTAATAAATCGTTTAATACAAATATAAATACTATAAATATAGAATTATATCAAGTTTTGACATACGATATAAAAACTATTTACAGCAAAATAAAAATAAAAATAGACACCTACTTTTACACACTAAAACTATATTATAGCATAACTATTCATATAAATATGACTTCACATATAAATAACATTTAACATTAGATATACAATATTTTCACTTTACATTCTTCATACATTCTTTCCATTTCATTATTATTTGGTAGCATTAGAAGAATCCACTAAAACAACAATCAAAAAACATACACGCAAACATAATGATCATGGCTCCGTGCTTGCACGGGAAATATGCAACTAGTATTATCTAACCATAAACTTAGTTACATTAACGCAGGCTCGTAATATACAAATTTGGTATCTCAAAAGAGAATAGGATTTGACACATTAAAACAGTCTTCTCTTTTAACATTCAACGCAAAAAGATGTTATCATGCTCTCGTATTTTGCTTGGATGCATAGGTTTTTCTCGACATCTTGTAAAAATAATAATCAAACAAGCTCTCCAATTTTGATACTTTCATTCACTGGTCGAACAACGTTTAAGCTAGGTGATTTTCCCGTGCTCATGCACGGGT